GGGTGGATAGATTGTAGAAGGGGGGTGTGACCCTCACATCGACGCGTTTCGCCTCGCTCATCAAAACTTCCTCAGGATGTAATTCTATTCTTTTGAGAACCATGTCATTTTTAATTGGCCTGGAGTCCTTGCAAAAAATAAAAAAAAAAAAACATATTTTATTATTATTATACAGGAGATATAAATATATTTATTTCAGGTACTTATATAGCGCCGTCCATTTATGCAGCGCTTTACATATATATTGTACATTCACATCAGTCCCTAACCCTCAAGGGGCGTACAATCTAAGGTCCCTAACTCACATTCATACATACACATACTAGGGCCAATTTAGACAGGAGCAGGGGCAGACTGACCATTCCGGCACTGCCCGAGGGCCCAGGGTCAGTAGGGGGCCCCATGAGATGCCCCTGGTACTGTTCATATGCTTTTTTGGGTGTGATTTGAGTTTGGGCAAGGACACAGGGGCCCCATGATCCCCTATTGCCTGGGGGCCCCATGAGTTGTCAGTCCGCCCCTGGACAGGAGCCAATTAACCTACCAGCATGTCTTTGGAGTGTGGGAGGAAACCCATGCAGGCACAGGGAGAACATGCAAAACTCCAGGCAGGTGGTGCCGTGGCTGGGATTCAAACCAACGACCCGAGTACTGCCAGGTGGAAGTGCTAACCATTTAGCCACTGTTCTGCCCTAAATATATATAGATATATACACACTCTTTCATTCCAAATCAATTGCCACCCCATTACCCACCTTCCTGCAGCCACTCCGCTTGTTAATAAAACATCTGTGCTAAGACAAAAGTGGGACCCCCCCACAAAAATAATTGGACCAATGTTAATTACTTTCAAATAGTTCAAACAGATGATAATTCTGCTCCTTAAAAAAAAAAATACAATTAGCGGCTCCTTTGATCAAAATATATTTTGTCTGGCGCTGACAACCCGCCATCTCAGGCTCTAAACAGCTGTCTGATCGTAATTTCAGCAGGATGAATTAAGGCAGATAATGGGGATTTTTTTTCAGTTGGTGCAGAAGGAAAAATTGTTGCTTTTGAAGGGAAAATGAGCTTTGGTGTGATGTTGGTGTCTCCAGCTGTGGCGGAATTAACCATTTCCTCCACCGCCTCAATTCTGAATCCAACGTCGCTCGGCTGTGTTGTGTCGGCCATTGATACATTAAGCTAGGGTAAAATGTCTCCAAAGATGAAATTTTTTTTTTGCGTGTGTGCCTAAATTCTGAAATGGAAAACGTGTTCCTGGATATATTTCTGAACCACCCACAGCAAGCTACACAGAGATCTCTAATGGCATCCAATAATGAAGTGATTTTTTTTTTAGATCAGTTAAATTTTATTAATTTTGCAAAGTTTACAAAAAAATGTAGGTGACAAAGGACAATAATAAAGGATACATTACCATCGGAAGGCACTGTTGCAACTTAAAGTATAAAGGATAATGGCGTAAAGTCACATTCAATTTAATAGAGCAAAAAAATTGGGGAGTAGTATGCGAGGCAGTTTAGGTCCAAATGGGCCACCGGTGTTATATGGTAAGAATAATGAGACCTAAAAATGCATTCAAGGCATGGAGAACAGTGGATAGAAAAAAAATCAAGAATATATTATCAAGAATATATAGAAGAGAAGGAGAGAAGAAGAAAGGGAAAGAAAAGAGGATAAGGAAGAAAAGGTTGGGGGTGGGATAGGAGCTGCAGAAGGAGGAAAGAAGTAATGGTAGGGACACTAGGGAAGAGAATAAGTCGGGGTAAGGAGGGTGAGGGTAGGTGGGGGCGATGAGATAACTAACCTCCTGACAAAGAGCAGATAATGGAAACACCAGCCTTTCTCAACCTTTTTACCATAGAGAAACCCTTACAATAATTTTCAGACCTCAGGAAACCCCTACTAAACTCCCATCACATTAGTGTGACCAGCCCAGAATTGTCCACTTATATTTGTGGTCATTGGCAGAAGGATCTCCTTCTATTGATCACCAGTGGGAGAAGGGCCCCTGTCATGATCTGGAGTCAGGCTGGGAGGCCAGTAGCTATAGCAGTAGTGAGGCTCCCACCAACCAGCTGGATAAGTACAGAAGCAGGTCATCCTGGTAGATGACACAGGATCACCTTAGGTACTAACAAATGTTCACCAGAGCTCCTGATGTTGGAGATGGGTTTTGCTACATGTTAGTACCAGGTCACAGTCTTCAGGATCTCCCCACCTGGAGGTGACCAAGCTGGGGTCCAGTAGCTGATATAGCAGGTAGGGATCAAGCAGTAAACAAGCCTAAGGTGGGTAATGAGTAGTTGCAGATTGGGATCAAACAGCACCTCAGTCGAGAAACAAGCCAAATGTTGGTAATGAGTAGATGGCAGCAGAAATGAAAAGAACGAGATATTGACTTGGGAGAGCACAATAATCTGTCAAACAGAGACATTGCTTGAATCAGGAAGTTCATGTGAGGATCAAAGAGTTCAAGATTCATCAAATAACAAGAGACAAGGCAAAGCCAAAAAAATCAGACCAAGAGCTGTCCAGCATCTCAGGTGGCTCAGCAAGAAGAGTTACTGCCAGACACAGCAGAGGTCCCGGTTTAGATCCAGACCCTGACAGCCCCTTTTCATTGGTGGTCAGAGGGAGAGGTGTTTCATTGGATGTCCCCAATACAGAATCCTAAAAAGATCCTGAGCGTCAGTGGTAGGCTCCATCAGTCCCACATTTCTGGATCTACAGAGTGACATTAGCCCTGGAACTACATTATGCAGATACCATCAGGTGGGAGATCAACCTGCCGCTGCTCAAGGAACCCTTGCACCCCTTTACAGTTCTCCAAAAGTGACTTCAGACCAGGCAAATTTATGTAACAAAACATTTTCTTTACTGAAATAGTAGATATAGCAATTAACAATTCAACTTGGATATTTCCAACACATATTCCTATACAAGTTCTTTTAAGTGCCCCTTGGTGCCTCACACCTTGAGGTGGTCATACCTTAGTAGGTGAGAAAATCCTTTAGAGTCTTTAGCTGAGAAACACAAGTCCATACCCCTGGAAACCCAACTGGGCTCCTGCAATGGGTGGTTAAGCAGCAAGTAATAAATCACATCCTTAGCATCATAGTTGTTCCTTGGACAGGGTAACCTGGAACCGAACGTCTGGACGATCTAACAGCGACACCCCCCCGAGAGATGGCTCCCTCACTTTTTATGTGCTTGCCTGTGCAGAGGGCTGTACTTCCCTGAAAACTTTGGGAAAACCTGGCCAGATGTGTTAACCCTTACCTCTCAGGGAGCACCATTCCCATGAGGCAATGCGACAGAACAATAATTACAACACAGAAACTCAACCAACAGATTTTAACTTACAAACAATACATGTTAGCAAAACAAAGGAACACTTGCCTAGGTGAGAATTGTGAAAGTGGAAGCAGATACCTGTCAGAAAAAGATACCCACTAACCCCCCCAAAAAAAAAAAAACTTTCAAATATGTTAGAAGGGGGTGGGGAGAGGCGGATTAGCGGTACTTACACTTTTAAGTGAACGTCCACTTTAAAAAAAAAGCTCTGTGTGTAATCTGATCTCTCCTGCTGTTTTCCTAACTCCTGTAAATTGAGACCATTGCCTTGAACATGCCACCTGCAGGAGGTAAACAATTGAATATTTATGTATTTATTTCAGGTACTTATATAGTGCCGTCAATTTACGCAGCGCTTTACATATATATTGTACATTCACATCAGTCCCTAACCCTCAAGGGGCGTACAATCTAAGGTCCCTAACTTACATTCATACATATAATATATGTGTAATATTTCATATTTATAGAACTGATATTAAAAGAAGAAAAACAGTTCTATACATACAGTAATAAGTAAATATAAAAATGTATGGGAAAAAAACCCCAGTACATTCCTTTTACAGAAATAAATTAATACCAGGATATAAAATAAATGTGTTTCCCCAGGACTTTAGTAACTAGTGCTAGAAGAATCTTCAGACTGCGTGTCCTCTGCATAATGTGATATAATGTACAAAACAATATAATGATATAATAATAATGATGTAATAATAATGATATAATAATAATAATGATATAATAATAATAATGATATATAATAATAATAATGATATAATAATGATATAATAATAATATATAATAATATAGTGTATAATATGAGGTGCTGGTCCCCGCAGTAGTCCATCCAATCTCACACTCCCCCTAGTGGTGGTGAGAGGGAAGATCTAAGAGTGCACAACGCACAGCACCTGGTTAAACAGTAAATCAGCCTAGAAAGCTTGGGGTGTCTTATTATACCAGATGAGACAAGAAGCGACAAACAATTCCCCCCAGCAGTCAACTAAACATTACTGGAGTTGGCCAACTGTGTCATCCTGTAAATGGATCCCTGCCTCTTAGAAGCTGTTCATTCCACCTACATGTTTTATCTTCTCCATGCGGCAATGTGAGAAGCTTGAATAGCATCTTCTAACAATATCTTCATTCTCCAGGAATAATCCACTACTTAATGGCCCTGTAATCTACTGTTCATTATAATGTTTCTTACTATAAGAGACAGCAGACACACAACAGTCAAATACTATGGGCATGATACAAGAGATGATCAGAGACTGCAGACAAGATACAAGAGATGATCAGAGACTGCAGATAAGATGCAGAAGATGATCGGAGAGTGCAGACAAGATACAAGAGATGATCAGAGACTGCAGACACACAACAGTCAATGACTATGGGCATAATACAAGAGATGATCAGAGACTGCAGACAAGATACAAGAGATGATCAGAGAGTGCAGACAAGATACAAGAGATGATCAGAGACTACAGACAAGATACAAGAGATGATCAGAGAGTGCAGACAAGATGCAGGAGATGATTGGAGACTGCAGACAAGATACAAGAGATGATCGGAGACGGCAGACAAGATGCAGGAGATGATTGGAGACTGCAGACAAGATACAAGAGATGATCGGAGACGGCAGACAAGATGCAGGAGATGATCGGAGACGGCAGACAAGATACAAGAGATGATCGGAGACGGCAGACAAGATACAAGAGATGATCGGAGACGGCAGACAAGATACAAGAGATGATTGGAGACGGCAGACAAGATACAAGAGATGATTGGAGACGGCAGACAAGATGCAGGAGATGATTGGAGACTGCAGACAAGATACAAGAGATGATCGGAGACGGCAGACAAGATGCAGGAGATGATTGGAGACTGCAGACAAGATACAAGAGATGATCGGAGACGGCAGACAAGATGCAGGAGATGATCGGAGACTGCAGACAAGATACAAGAGATGATCGGAGACTGCAGACAAGATACAAGAGATGATCGGAGAGTGCAGACAAGATACAGGAGATGATTGGAGACTACAGACAAAGATACAAGAGATTATCATAGACTGCAGACAAGATACAAGAGATGATCGGAGACAGCAGCACACACACAGTCAATGACTATGGGCATGATACAAGAAAAGAAATGCCCGCAGCGATAAAAGAAGAAAAGAATTAGCGAAGGGCAGGCATGACTAGGCCCAGAGTGGGAAGGAAGACGTGTAAGGGTTAACAATTGTTTAGAGTTGGTAAAGGATAGCTGGGGGATCTGGTTGGTAGAGGAGAGTGTAGGTGGGGTCTCCTGCACTTTAGGGTGGGGTGCTCTGGGGAGGGCCGTCAGTTGGGAGCTGGACGTGGGAGAGAGAGCTTCCCTCCCGCCCCCCTGTTTGGTGAATGTTGTGTTCCTCCTGGGGGGGGGGGGGGTTATTTTGGTTCCTGGGCAGTGGTTGGTCTTTGGAGGCGGTTCTTATCTTGGAGGTACAAAATGGTGTGGGACCCATCGGTGGTATGGTGTGCCCGGGAACATTCCCAGTTAACCAAGGTTTAACTGGAAGGTGGTGGTGCTGCACTGCGGACGGTATGGTTGTCTCCGAGCTGGTTGGTTGCGGCTGGAGGCCGAGTGTAATATGGTTGTCCGCAGGTGCATTTCGGATCGTTTTGGGGGTGCCTTCAAAGACCAACGACAACTCTTTATGTTTTCTGTTATAAGGAATGGTTGGTGTGTTTAAACTTGATTTGTTAATAAAAGGCCGTGCTGGCCATTTTACTCCAAAATTGGTGTTGTGTTTTCTGTAAGTATAGTAAGTAAAGGGGATTGGTATGGAAGGGTAAAGGGTAACGGTGGTGTAGTGGGGTCTGGATGAACCTATCTCGGGTGCACTAGTCATGATCAGAGGACAAGATACAGGAGATGATCGGAGACTGCAGACAAGATACAGGAGATGGTCAAAGACTGCAGACAAGATACAGGAGATGGTCAGAGACTGCAGACAAGAAATGAAAATCAGAGACTGTGGACATAAAACAGGAGATGGTCAGAGACTGCAGACAAGATACAGGAGATGGTCAGAGACTGTAGACATAATACAAGAGATGTAGTAATTGGTATAGTAGATTGGAGCGCCACACTGAGATGTGGGTGATATGGGGCTGCTTCTGTTCACATAAGAACTTCCATGTAAACCATGGGATGTATAAGTAATACCTGGATCAGGGGTAATATTTTCCCCCCTTCATCAGGGTTACAGCATAATATGAAAATATCAAATCATTGTATTTTTACATGTTTATATTTTTGATGATGCTATATTTTCATATCATGTTGTAGCCCTGATGAAGAGGGGAAAATGTTACACCTGAAATGCATTAGTTGTTCTTTTCCTTTCGATTTTGAAAATCAAAACCTCCGTTTGGACTGTAACATTTCAGTGTGGCGCTCCAATGTTCAGATCCAGTTATTACTTATACATCCCATAGTTTCCACGGGAGTTCTTCTGTGAATGGAAGCAGCCCCATATCACCCAGATGCCCCCACTGGCACACTATCGGTATAGTTTTAATAAAATTAATCTCCTGTATCAAGTAGTATCTACCTAAGGTTCTAGCACAATCAATCCACTACTTCAAGCATATCACAAGAGATGGTCAGAGACTGTGGACTTGATACAAGAGATGATCAAAAACTGCAGGAATGATGCAAGAGATGGTCAGAGACTGCAGACACGGTACAGGAGATGGTCAGAGACTGCAGACACGGTACAGGAGATGACCAGAGACTGCGGACACGGTACAGGAGATGGTCAGAGACTGCGGACATGGTACAGGAGATGGTCAGACTGCGGACGCGGTACAGGAGATGACCAGAGACTGCGGACACGGTACAGGAGATGACCAGAGACTGCGGACACGGTACAGGAGATGGCCAGAGACTGCAGACACAGTACAGGAGATGGTCAGAGACTGCAGACACGGTACAGGAGATGGTCAGAGACTGCAGACACGGTACAGGAGATGGTCAGAGACTGCAGACACGGTACAGGAGATGGTCAGAGACTGCAGACACGGTACAGGAGATGGTCAGAGACTGCAGACACGGTACAGGAGATGGTCAGAGACTGCAGACACGTTACAAGAGATGGTCAGAGACTTCAGACACGTTACAGGAGATGATCAGAGACTGCAGACACGTTACAAGAGATGGTCAGAGACTGCAGACACGGTACAGGAGATGGTCAGAGACTGCAGACACGGTACAGGAGATGGTCAGAGACTGCAGACACGGTACAGGAGATGGTCAGAGACTGCAGACACGGTACAGGAGATGGTCAGAGACTGCACACACGGTACAGGAGATGGTCAGAGACTGCAGACACGTTACAAGAGATGGTCAGAGACTGCAGACACGTTACAAGAGATGATCAGAGACTGCAGACACGTTACAAGAGATGGTCAGAGACTGCAGACACGGTACAGGAGATGGTCAGAGACTGCAGACACGGTACAGGAGATGGTCAGAGACTGCAGGCACGGTACAGGAGATGGTCAGAGACTGCAGACACGGTACAGGAGATGGTCAGAGACTGCACACACGGTACAGGAGATGGTCAGAGACTGCAGACACGGTACAGGAGATGGTCAGAGACTGCAGACACGGTACAGGAGATGGTCAGAGACTGCAGACACGGTACAGGAGATGGTCAGAGACTGCAGACACGTTACAAGAGATGGTCAGAGACTGCAGACACGTTACAAGAGATGATCAGAGACTGCAGACACGTTACAAGAGATGGTCAGAGACTGCAGATTTGATACGGGAGATGGTCAGAGACTGCAGACACGGTACGGGAGATGGTCAGAGACTGCAGACATGATACAGGAGATGGTCAGAGACTGCAGACATGGAACAGGAGATGGTCAGAGACTGCAGACACGGAACAGTAGATGGTCAGAAACTGCAGACACGGTACAAGAGATGGTCAGAGACTGCAGACATGGAACAGGAGATGGTCAGAGACTGCAGATATGATACGGGAGATGGTCAGAGACAGCAGATATGATACGGGAGATGGTCAGAGACTGTAGACATGATACGGGAGATGGTCAGAGACTGCAGACATACTATATTAATGGTCAGAGACTGGGGACATGCTTCAGGACACAGTCAGACTGGAGATATTACATGAGACTGCTAGAGATCACTGCTATAACAAGGCCAACACAGATTAGTGTCTGCAGGGCCACAGGTTGGGCACCAGGGCTTTATACTTTAGATATTATCTGGGGTTGTTTATACATGATATTTTTGTAGTTGGGATTCTATATGAGAGTTTAGTGATTGGGGTTGCATTCACAAATACCCGTGTTTCGGGTCTAAAGCTGGCCATACATTATACAATCTGATTCTGACACACCCAAACAATCCATTCCATGTGTATCCAGTCAGGCAGGCCCTTGTACTACATAGCTGATGATAGCAGACTGTACAATCAGATTGTGTAGTGTATGGTCAGCTTTAGGAGTTGTTTTTTTCTTTTAAAGATTAATTGAAGGAATCGATAAGTAGACTAAAATTGCACTTTTCTCTCGATTTCTTGTTTTGTTGATGAATCTCCGTTCATGAAATCTCGGCTCTCCTCTCCTGGCCTTCATTTCGCAGGCAGGAGAAGTATTGTCCTAATGAGGTTTGCAAACGTGTCGTCTTCTAGATGAATCACCTCCAGAGCCGGCTTCTTGGCCGTGTCTTCACTTCCAAGGAAACTCGCTCGCCGCTTAGCAACCCACTGTCCGACGCTTTTTTTTTTTTTTTGCACGCTGTGTTTTCCGTTTTAATTCAATCCTCGTAAATCTCAGTCCCGATGTTTGGAGAGGAAGAGCAGACTGGAGCCCATGGCAGAGAAACAATCAAATTTGTCGAAGAAGGGAACGATGTCTGCGTTGTCTGCGCCAGGATAGAGACCCCTCCAAGACCTTGTCTCACCAAACATGGAGCATGGCTGTCACTGAGATTTGTGTACAGACGGTGAGGCCAAAAGGCTGAGCTCCAAATAAAAAACACAAATTCCGCAGCACTCTAATTATTAATACATCATTAAATGTGGTTTTTAATGCCAACAGCAGGGGCGCACTGACAACTCATGGGGCCCCCGGGCAATAGGGGATCATGGGGCCCCTGTGTCCTTGCCCAAACTCAAAAAAGCCTATGAAAAAAGGTACCAGGGGCATCTGATGGGGCCCCCTACTGACCCCAGGCCCTCGGGCAGTGCCCGAGTTTCCAAATGGTCAGTCTGCCCCTGGCCAACAGTGTACCTGAAGGTGACCTGACATCAGCCTCTTGCAGTCCCTGTAGAGCAGGGAAGAAGCAGCATAAGGAGCCGATCAGATTATGTGCTGACAAGAAGCATGCTGATAGGTGGAGATAGCAGAGTGGCAGAGAGGTGAGCTCATCAAGGTGCTGCTTCTTCTTTCACTGTCCCATCACAGGTTGGGGGCTGGTCCGGGACAACCTGGGTTCAGAAGATGTGGGCTGAATGATGCTGACCGTCAGTCTTCAGATATTTTGGTGGTAGAAAAAAAAATACTGAAGAGGGAAACTCTTGACTAAAGCTGAATATTGCAGCAAAGCTTGGTTTTGTTGTTGTTGTTATTATTATTTTTTTTTATTATTATTATTATTATTTTTATTATTATTATTGTGGCACAGTGGCTTAGTGGTTAGCACTTCTGCCTTGCAGTAATTGTGTCATGGGTTCGATTCCTGACCATGGTACCTCCTGCATGGAGTTTGTAGTTCTCCCCATGTTCATGTGGGTTTCCTCTGGATACTCTGGTTTCCTCCCACACTCCAAAGACATGCTGGTAGGTTAATTGGCTCCTGTCTAAAAATTGTCCTAGTTTCATCCCTGGCCATGTGGGATCTCCTGCATGGTGGGGGTTGGGGAAAGACCTGGCAACCTACCCTGTAAAATAATTGCTAAGAGAATTCATGGAAAAAGTCACTTACGAGTGACGGTCCATGCAATCACCAAGGGTCGGATATGACTGAATGAATGGATCGATAGAGATTATTATTATAATACAGGATTTATATAGCGCCAACAGTTTCCTCAGCACTTTACAGGTTAGGAGGGCCCTGACCCTGAGAGCTTACAATCTAAGGGGGAGGGGCTAGTGGTACAAACGGAAATAACTGTGGGGGATGGACTGGTAGGAGGAATTATACAGGATTTATATGGCGCCAACAGTTTGCTCAGCTCTTTACAATATAACGGGAGACAATACAGCAACAATACAGTTCAATACAAGAGGGATAGGAGGGCCCTGATCCTGGGAGCTTACAATCTAAGAGGGAGGGGCTAGTGGTACAAAAGGTAATAACTGTGGGGGATGGACTGGTAGGAGGAATAATTATTATTATTATACAGGATTTATATTGCGCCAACAGTTTTTGCTCAGCGCTTTACAAATATAATAGGAGGCAATACAGCAATGATACAATTCAATACAAAGGGAAAGGAGGGCCCTGATCCTGTTGTCAAAGCAAACATTCTTCAGAATTCTACATCAAAGTGCTGCTAACCTGTGTCCCCATTGGGTAACATTCCCTTCACTTCCTGTACTGGTGACACGACAAGAACTAAAGGAAAATCCACACAATGTGTATACAGATAATAATGAAATAAGTTTTAAACTCCAGCACAACATAATTAAATGCTAACAAATGATTCTTTAAATAACTGAATTAAAAAAAAAACAGTTAAAAGAAAAACTAATAAGTACCTGAATATATTTTGACATTGGCTTCCTGTAATGTTTCTGCAAATAACTATTCATATTAGAAGGGGGGGGGGCATAGCTCTGCGCAGGGGTGGACTGACAACTCATGGGGCCCCCGGGCAATAGGGGATCATGGGGCCCCTGTGTCCTTGCCCACACTCAAAGCACACCCGAAAAGCCAATAAAAAAGGTACCAGGGGCATTTCATGGGGCCCCCTACTGACCCCGGGCCCTCGGGCTGTGCCGAGTGCTGGAATGGTCAGTTCGCTCCTGGCTCTGAGTCAGTCAGGATTTAGCTGATTTGCACAGTGCTGTCAGTCTGATGCTGAAGTTGCTTACAGGAGGAAGGAGTGCCGAGCTGACCTATGACCCCTTTACTTTATCCCGGCGTAGTCTGCAAACAAGGTTCTAGAATCACAAGACTGGCCAAACAGCATCACAGATCCTTTGGCAAGCAAAACAGTGTAGCTGTTTACTTGGATTTCCCACTCTAATTACAGCGATTACATCTCTATTGCCGGGAAATTCTCCCTCACAGGGTGTCACCGAGACAGGAAGTGAGGGGAAATCTCCCCAACAGAGGCAGTAAAAAAAAACCCAATAAACACCTGACAGAGGTTCTGATCTGCGCAGAAAAAGTTTAAGCTGCACTTCGGGATAACAAATATTATCTAAATACAATCATCATGGCTATTCTTAGTAGAATCTTGGTGTGCTTTCTTCCAGATCTCATAGATTGCAAGCTCTAAGGAACAGGGTCCTATGATTCCTCCTGTATTAAACTGTATTGTAACTGGACTGTCTGCCCTCATATTGTACAGTGCTATATAAATCCTGTATAATAATAATCTGTGCAATAATCCAGGGTGAGACTTCTCCCTCCTGTAATAAAGACCACTCACTGCTGCTCTCTCTCCTTGTGCAGGGTGACTGGTCTTGTCTCCGCCCCCTCCTGTAGTTTTCTGCAGGCAGCCTGTAGTGGGCGGAGCCTGCTGAGTCCCTCCCACCTCACTGCTGCTCTCTCTCCTTGTGCAGGGTGACTGGTCTTGTCTCCGGCTCCCTCCTGTAGTTTTCTGCAGGCAGCCTGTAGTGGGCGGAGTCTGCTGAGTCCCTCCCACTTCTCACTGCTGCTCTCTCTCCTTGTGCAGGGTGACTGGTCTTGTCTCCGCCCCCTCCTGTCATTTTCTGCAGGCAGCCTGTAGTGGGCGGAGCCTGCTGAGTCCCTCCCACTTCTCACTGCTGCTCTCTCCTTGTGCAGGGTGACTGGTCTTGTCTCCGCCCCCTCCTGTAGTTTTCTGCAGGCAGCCTGTAATGGGTGGAGCCTGCTGAGTCCCTCCCACTACTCACTGCTGCTCTCTCTCCTTGTGCAGGGTGACTGGTCTTGTCTCTGCCCCCTCCTGTAGTCTTCTGCAGGCAGCCTGTAGTGGGTGGAGCCTGCTGAGTCCCTCCCACTACTCACTGATGTTCTCTCTGCTTGTGCAGGGTGACTGGTCTTGTCTCTGGCCCCCTCCTGTCGTTTTCTGCAGGCAGCCTGTAGTGGGCGGAGCCTGCTGAGTCCCTCCCACTACTCACTGCTGCTCTCTCTCCTTGTGCAGGGTGACTGGTCTTGTCTCCGCCCCCTCCTGTAGTCTTCTGCAGGCAGCCTGTAGTGGGTGGAGCCTGCTGAGTCCCTCCCACTACTCACTGCTGCTCTCTCTCCTTGTGCAGGGTGACTGGTCTTGTCTCCGCCCCCTCCTGTAGTCTTCTGCAGGCAGCCTGTAGTGGGTGGAGCCTGCTGAGTCCCTCCCACTACTCACTGATGCTCTCTCTCCTTGTGCAGGGTGACTGGTCTTGTCTCCGCCCCCTCCTGTAGTTTTCTGCAGGCAGCCTGTAACGGGTGGAGCCTGCTGAGTCCCTCCCACTACTCACTGCTGCTCTCTCTCCTTGTGCAGGGTGACTGGTCTTGTCTCCGCGCCCCCTCCCCCTCCTGTAGTTTTCTGCAGGCAGCCTGTAACGGGTGGAGCCTGCTGAGTCCCTCCCACTACTCACTGCTGCTCTCTCTCCTTGTGCAGGGTGACTGGTCTTGTCTCCCCCCCTCCTGTAGTTTTCTGCAGCCAGCCTGTAGTGGGTGGGGGCTGTTTAGCTCCTCCCACAAGTCTGCTCGCTACATACAGCACAGTGATGATGTCACTGCTACTTTCACAAGGTCATATCTGGGTTTGCATGTCATTTGGTGCACACCAGGTGGATTTATATCCTTTGTGGCTATTGAAGAACATATTCAAACTGAAAGTTTTGTGGCTTGTGTTCACCTTCAAAGTCAAGTGACCGAACATTTTATTGCAAATCATTCTCAGGGCCTAAAAAAAGCAGGAAAACGTCAAAACAGACAAAATTCCATTCTTCAGGACACGTCCCCCTTGGCATAAACCGCTGACAGCAGAAGCCCTCCATAATGGGTCGAATTTTGAACGATTTTTCATCCGAAAATGGAGAACGTCGTTGGCTCGGTAATCCGATGGCACCATCAATGATTTAGAAAATTGGCCGACCGAGTCATAAAGTTCACCCCATATAACAGGCGAGACCCTCCAGGTCACGGCTCATGCGCGTATTCTTTTCGGAAAAACGATCGTACAATTTGACCATCATTGAACCAAAAATCGGTCGTTTTTCATGAATTTTCCAACATGCCCGATCACCGAAAAGGGGAGGAGCCACGAAAATCGGCCGGTGCCATTGACCCCACTAACTGAGCGAAAATCGGCCGATCGGTCAAATTTTGACCCATGTATGGCCGGCATAAGTAACATTTACCGCCGACCAGTTTGACTTTTTTTCTTTTTTACATTTTCTAACCTCTCCTGCACTGATAATGAATATTTGAAGGGTTTCAGGACATGGTCCCTCTGCGCGTCCAGATGATTTCTCCTTCCTCGGTGTTCCGTCACCACCGCGCTGCACGGTTACCATAGATACCTTATCAGTTGGAACACTCGGGGACCTGCTGCCAAACTGCTGTATGCTAATGAGATGCTATTACTCGCCAATTACCTCCCTGGCTTTCTATGGAAGACACTTCGTAAAAACAGAGAAAAATAACAAATCGATTTTTTTTTTTTTTTTTTTAAAGAGAACCACTCCTAACTATTCTCCTATTAAAATTCGGTCAAATTCTAGCCAGATATAATAGACACAATTTTATGCAGCGCTGTGATATTTAATAGATCGTTACATTTATTTTTTTTTAAATACCAGCAGTGTAAGTTCCTGAATGTGACCCAGTATCAGCCTCTTGCAGTTCCTGTACAGCAGGACCGGAGTGTGAGAGGAAGAAGCAGCGCAAAGAGCCAATCAGTTCATGTACTGACAAGGAGCATGCTGATAGCAGGAGAGGGCAGAGAGATGAGCACATCATGCAAGGAATGCTTTAAGGATAAAATTGGCTCCTGTCTAAAATTGTCCCTAGTATGTGTTCGTATGAATGTGAGTTAGGGACCTTAGATTGTACGCCCCTTGAGGGTTAGGGACTGATGTGAATGTACAATATATATATGTAAAGTTATTGGCAGGTATCACCAGGTGACA